TTATACTTTAGGGAAAGATGGTTGTGGTTAGAGTGAACAGAGCTTTGGAATGTTGACAGATGTCCTTGGCTTGCTAATGGGTCCAGTGGCTGGGAGGTTGTCCTGGCAGCATGCTGCTCCCTGAGAGGCTGGAGCCATGGCCTCCTTAGTGAGGACAGCATCCAGTTCAGGCAACACTATTACATGGCTCAGTGCAGCCAGCTTCAGACAATGAGGCCTTTCATGGGGCCTGGCTGGTGGCTCTTAGGGTAGACCAAAGGGTTCTTTCCCCGCCTTCTTGTGGGATGCCCTTCCAGCCCCTCACATGGCCTTGTGAGAGACAGGATGATGGGGGAGGGAGGAGGAACTCTAGCTTCAGTCTGTGCTGGGATTGAAGCCCTGCCCTGTGGTCCAGTGGTCCATAGATTGCTGGTGTTTCAGATTCTCCTAGCATCCCTCCCAGAAGGATGATACTTAGCCCCCACCCTCACCCCCAGTTACCCAGTGGACCTGCTGAGTTCATGGTAGAAAGGACAGCTTCTCCTCGCTTAGTTTCAGAAGTTCACAGTGTCAAAAGTCAGTGATCACTCAATAAATGTTCTCCATGGATGGGCGTGTGCCAGGAGTGTTACATGTTTGATCTTTAGTGTCATCCTGAGATAACCCTTGGAGGCAGGTATTACCATCCTGTTTCTTTTCTTTTTTGAGACAGGGTCTTTCTATGTGTAGCCTTGGCTGTCCTGGAACTCTCTATGTAGACCAGGCGGGTCTAGAATTCACAGATATTTGCCTGCCTCTGATCCTATGTCTATGGGAAAGGAATTGGAGGCCTATAAAGAGGTTGAAAAGCTTGCCTGAGATTGTACAGGTTCATTATGTAACTGCACTTGAACCCAAGCCAGGTGATCTCAACACCTGTTTCATGAGTTACCTCAAAGGCTTCCAAGCCTACATTTCCCTCCAGGGTACTCATTTTTCTTGCCCTAGGGCTGCTGCTCTAGAATGGGCCCATAGACTCTGCCCTGTCTGCCCTACAGCAGTTGCTGTAGGCCATTCCCTCCTCCAGGGTATTTCAGGATTGAAAGGGACCTCATTGGCTTGGCCTTGAGGCCCCCAACACCATCCATCTCCTTATGTCTCCATCCAGAACTCTCCTATCTGTTCCCCTTTGCTGAACTGATGCTGTTCCTGCTTCTTTCCCTGTGGCCTCATTATACCTCAGGTCTCCCTTCATCTTTTAGGGCTCAGCTTGAGGTCCATTTCCTTTCTCCCTTCCACAGGTGGTTATTTGGTACCTTCTCTGTGCTTGGCCTGCGTTCACCTCCTTATCCTGATGGGATGGCAGTGCAGCTTGGTCAGTGTTGTGATGGAGACAGTAGGAAAAAAGGGAGGAGAAGAAGCTGGGGCAGACATAAGGTTCTAACAACAGGGCAACAGAGCTGGAGTGAGAAGATGCTCTGAGGATCTTGTGTAATTTGGAGCCAGGAGGACAGCTGCTGGACTTAGTGACAGGACTTGCAGTGGCTAGATCTCAGTCCTGACAGCAGTGGAGAGTCATCTAATAGTCTTGAGCAAGGGACATGCCTGGTAGGGCAACTCTTTAAGAATGTCAAAAGGAGGGGGCTGGAGAGATGGCTCAGCGGTTAAGAGCACTGCCTGTTTGTTCTTCCAGAGGTCCTGAGTTCAATTCCCAGTAACCACATGGTGCCTCACAACCACCTTGAATGACATCTGGTGCTCTCTGCTGGCATGTAGGCAGAAGACTGTATACATAATAATAATAAAAAAAATCTTAAAAAAAAAAAGAATGTCAAAAGGAGACCTGTGGTGGGGGCAGCATCATGGAGACCTGATTAGGTCTTCCTGGGAGGCAAGGCATGACAAGTGGCTGTGGTTGTGGGTTTTGTTTTAGTCTGAGACTGGCCAATAGAGTGTGGTGGCCTGAGGACAGGCTGTGGAAACATGTACAGTTAGAAACAGAGTGGGCAGGCAGAGTGGGCAGGCAGTGGGCGGGACCAAGCATTTAAGGAGTTGGGATCACTGGGACTTGGCTACTTGGACCATGGAGGGGAAGCTGTTGTCAGGTTGCCTAGCAGCAGCCTGGCTCATGAGGGCTTCTATTGGCTCCCCATCTAGGTGACACTGGGGTGTCACCTTCATGTCTCATCTCTCACTGTAGAGGGTTTGGGCAAAGTGGTTTATTCTGCTCTGACCGAATAGATCTGTGATGGGACACTGGCCAGGAGGAGGGAACCCAAGCCCATGGCATGGTCAGCTGGGGCCTAGGTCAGGACTCAAATCTGGCCAGGTTTGGGGTGGACAGGGGCCAGTGCCTAGCATAGCTGAAGTCTGGGAAGGCTTGTCTCTGACCTCTACATGCTCGCTCTCCCTGTCAGCTGTCTTGGCTCTGCTTGGCTGGCCCTGACTTCATCCCAGGCTTCTGCTCTCCTGGGAGGAGTGGCCATGCTCTAGAGTACCCATTGGCTGAAGCTTCCCTGCTGCACACATCCCTGCTCCCTGCTGGCTGCCTTCCCATCTTGACTGCTGGAATTGAGCTCAGGAAGAGTGAAGTCTGTGACACTTATGCCATAGCAATTGAAGGCCCTGATCTTGCTGCCTGGGCATCTAGAAAGTTCTAAGAGCTCCTAACCATGATGAAAATGGTGAGGGAAGAAAGAGCCTACCTGCCAGTTCCGTGTGCTACCACACCCAGAATGCTAAGCCACCTGTATCAACATCCATGCAGACCCACCAGTACACAGCCTTGCTAGAGACGACTTTGGCAGTGGTTTCCATGGTGATGGACCCGGCTGCTTGAGTGTAGCAGCTTTCAGGCAGCCTTTGAGAGCCTGAAAGATGGGCAGCTGTCATCTGTGAACCCCCACCCTGGCCAAGAGTTCCTAAGTCTGCTGCCTTCAAAAGTCTCTCATGGAATCATAATTCCTGTAGAAGTCTGCATATGCCATCTTTCTTGGTTCAGCCTCACCAAACTTACAGGGAGCTGTGACACCCAGGGCCACAATGAATGTGCCAACAGTAGCAACCTGCATCTGAGGTTTCAGCACTGCACTGGAAGTCATGGTAGTGAATGTCTGCTACACCAGCATCCCTTCTGGTTCTCATAGAAACGGAGAGCCTCCCTTCTCACAGTGTGGTCTTCATCGGGTCTTCCTGTCTCCAGTGCATCCTGGCCGTCTGCTTTTGCTTGGGGCGTTTTCTCATTGGTTTTCCAATTTACTACTTTAAACTTTTTCACTTTTTTTTTTTTTTTTTTTTAAGAGCAGTGTTTCACTATGGAGGTCTGTTGGCAAGGGGCTCTCTATGTAGTTCTGGCTGGCCTTGACCTATGGAGATGCAGATGTCTCAGCCTCCAAGCACTGGGATTAAAGTGTGTACTACAATACCTGCAAGTTAAACATTTTAAAGTGTGTAGTTCAGTGGGATTAACTGCATTTACATTGAGCCCCCTTCACCACTATTTCCAGAACTTTTCATCTTTTTTTTTTAACTAGAGCCCACCCCCTGCTTACCCCATTAAGCAGTAGCTCAGCCCCTAGCCATCCCATTGTGCTACAAATATGATCCAAGGATGTCCTATGAGTGACTTCTAGTATTTGTCCTTTTGTGACTGCTGTCTCAGTATAATGTCTACATCTTTCATTAGTTTTGAGAATATGTCAGATTTTCCTTCCTTTTTAATGTTGAGATAGTCATGGAAATACATATATATATATATATATATATATATATATATATATATATTACATTTAAAACATTTATTTGTATTGTCTGTGTGAGTGTATATATGTGTTCAGGTGTGTGCACACAGAGGCCAGAAGAAGGCATTGAGGGTCTTTATCCATCACTTTCCACCTGTTCCTTTGAGGCAGTTCCTCCCTGAACCCAGAACTCACATTTTCTTGGCTAGGCTGGAAGCCAGCAAGCCCTAGTGTTCCTTCGATCTATTGACTTTGGAGCTCTGGGTAGTCATTGTCGGTCATCTGTCACAGCTGAAGAACCAACAGAGAAGGTTCTGGAACCCACACATGAGAGGTGGGACTTCAAGCTTGGTGTACCCTGTCCTGTTCCCAGGCAGAATGGTCCCTTTCCCTCTCATGAGTGCCACACGCATTTCCCTTCTGGCTCTGCCCACCTTGGGGCTGGGGTACAGGTGTTTGTAAGATGCTCAGTTTTAGTTACTTTTGCTGTGAAGAGACACCATGACCAAGGCAGCTTACAGAAGGGTTCAGTGGGGGCTTACAGTTCCAGAGGGTGAGTCCATGAGCATCACAGCAGGGAGCATGGCGGTAGACAGACATGCATGACACTGGAGCAGTAGCTGAGACACAGCCATGATGTGGAGAGCTAACTGGAAATGGCATAGGCTTTTGAAACCTCAAAGCCTGCCCCAGTGACACACCTCCTGCAACAAGGCCACACTCCCTGATCTTTTCTAAACAGTTCCATCGACTGGGACCAAGCATACAAATATATGAGTCTATTGGGGGGCATTCTCATTCAAATCGTCACACTCTGATGCTATATGGGTGCTAGGATCTGAACTCTGGTCCTCAGGACTCCGCAGCAAGTGCTCTTAAATACTGTGCTATCTCTCTAGCCCCTATCACCTTTTGCAGGTGGGGAAGTCTTTCAAGAGAGAAAGTCAAGAACAAAATATGGTGGCATGCCTATAATTCCATTCTTCTAGAGACTGAAGAAGAGCAAATGCTCAAAGCCAATCTGGGCTACACAGAGAGTCAATCTAAAGGGAAACTTTAGAAGTTGCCCACTATCTGTAACAAGGAAGTAGGTGCTTTCCTAAGAGGGAGCTGACATAGGCATCATTCCCCTGAACTCTGAGAGTGTGGGCTGGAGGATCATGGGTCATGGTGGCCATTCTTGAATAGGCTGGCGGAAGGTGGTTCAAACCGCTTCTCCTCTGTACGTGAGGTGGCAGGGTTAGCAGAGCAGAGACATGCAGAATGCTGACCATGACAGAATGCTGTCCTCTCCTGCCCCAGGGCTTTGCCTCTATGTTCTCTAGTCGTGCATCCCGGAAATCCATCTCACATCCAGAGCAAGGAGACGCCATGACAGAGGGTGAGGAGTACCGGAACCCTACGGAGGTGCAGATGAGCCAGCTGGTGCTGCCCTGCCACACTAACCACCGTGGGGAACTGAGCATCGGACAGCTGCTCAAATGGATCGACACCACAGCCTGCCTGTCAGGTGACGCTCTGCTCCAGGCTCTCTGTCACATCCCCACCACTTGCCCCGTAGAACCGAGGCGGGGGGCCTCCGTTTTTAAAGATGGTCTCTTTCTCTCTCATGGTCACCACACTTGTTCCCCTTCTGGCCTTAGTTCCTGCTCATCCCTTGCCTCGAATCCTCTGTTCATCTTCTAGTTGTCTGAGCAGCCTGTCCCTCTCCCCTAACTCTGGGTGTTGGTACCATTCAGATGACCCCGTCTGCCTCTGCTGCAGCCTTAACCAAAGCTATTTCCCAATTGGCTGGTAAAGACCAGGCTCAGAGGCTGACTGTGAGTGTGCCTGATCCTCTCCACGTTGGCTTTTGTTGCATTTGTGCTCTCCAGCCTCCAGGTCTAACGCAGTGACTTGGCTATACCAGTAGGGTTTGAGAGGCCCCTAGCCAGCCATGGGTTAGGGAAAGGGCTCCAGAGGGAAGGAAGCAGAAGTGTGAAAAGAAAGGTGGGCACTCCTGGTGGAGAAGTCTCTGGAGGAGGGATGCGTGGTCAGAGGCCTGTGTGACATGGGGAGGCTGCTAATATTTGGCTTTCTTCTCCCGAGCCAGCGGAGAGGCATGCTGGCTGCCCCTGTGTCACAGCTTCCATGGATGACATCTACTTTGACCATACCATTAGGTAAGTGGCCCTCTGACTTAACTACCTTCTTAGTCTCCCCATCTCGAGCACAGGGCCTTGATTTCTACCTCCCCACCTGCCAGGCTGTGTGGTACTAGGAGCTGACTCAACTGACTGATGGCTTTGGAAGGTGGAACCATGGTGTCTTGGGGGGTGAAACTGTGTGGGACAGCAGTGGATTAGGAGTGGCCTGTTGCTTTGTGCCATTAGGTGAGCTTTCTTGTCAGGGTGGGGCCAGGAATGTTGTCTCAGGTTTGCAGTTGGAAAGACTTCTCTGGTGGGGTATGGAGGCCTAAAGCCAGCTGTGGAATATGCAGAGCCAACAGCTCAGGTTTCTGAAGTGTGTTATGTGTTGCTATGTGACTTTGGGTAGCTCAGATTCTCTCTGGACTTTGTTTTCCTTACCCGTGAAATGGAAGGACTTGAATTTGACCAGGAAACACCTCTTTTATCTCAGACATTTCTTCATAGGTCCCTGGTCACTGAACTATAGGGAGACCCCCTGACAAGGCACCAGGGCCCAGCCCGTGCCAGAAGAATGAGCCAGCCAGCCACCCTTGGATCACACCCATTCCAGCTCTTACTCAGGGATTCTTTTTCTTTTCAGTGGCTGTAAAGGTTAGAAATCTTGTCATTACCCCCCCAGGCTTTGTTGCTGCTAATCCTCATCCTGCTGGGACGCAAGGAGGCTGCTGAGCCCTTGGCCCGGGACAGGCCTCACACAGAGCTTGCTACTGGCCCACTCCTAGATATGCCAATGCACATAGGATATCAAGTGCTAAGGGCTTATTCAGGGCTGCCAGGCACCCGATGAGTGACTAATAAGGAAGATGTTTGACCAGTCCCTGTCCTCAAGTCAGTCACCCGTTCACTACATACTCTGTATTAGTTAATGTGCTGGCTGATTTTATATCAACTGGACCCAAGCTGTCGTTTGGGGAGAAGGGCCCTCAAGTGAGAAAATGCTCTCTTCCGATTGGCCCATGGGCAAGCCTATGGGGCATTTTCTTGATTAATGATTTATGTGGGAGGCCCCACTGTGTGCAGTGGCACTCCTGGAAAGGTGGCCTTGGTGTGTATAAGAAAGCAGGCTGAGCAAGCCATGGGGAGCAAAACAGTAAGTGGCAGTCCTCCATGGTCTCTGCTTCAGTTTCTGTCCCCAGATTTCCGCCCCCCATTACCTTAGATGATGAGCTGTGATGTGGGAGTGAAATAAACTGTTTCTTCCCAAGTTGCTTTTTGGTCATTGTGTTTCATCACAGCAATAGAAAACCTAGTTAAGACAGTTAAGAGCTTTTCTGGATTGGTGTCATGCCAGGTTTGGGGACACAAACCGCCAGAACACAATCCTTATGTCCAGGACTATCCAGTCTGCAGAGGGACAGGTGGAGAAATCTCATTTGCATTTGTGTTCAGCATGCAGGAGCCCAGGGTTCGATCTCCACCTCCACCATAACAGAAAAGCACAAGTCCTACAATGACAATGAGCTCTGATAAGGTGTTGCTTTGTCACACTTTGCTATTTAGCTCTTAGTTCTGAGGCTCCCACCCAGCTTGGATCAGTTTGACAAACAGTTTCAGCTTGACTGAAAGAAAGGCTTTATTCCTGAGGGTGGTACTGAGTTCCCATGTGGGCCAGTTCAGCTCCCCTCTTTTTTTTTTTTCATTTTTTTTTCTTTTTCTTTTTTTTCCAGCTCCCCTCTTACCAACATCTTACATTTATACTTTATCAATCTATTGCTTAGGATGCCTTTTTAATTTGTTAATAATGAGGGCTACTGTATGGGGCTTTTGTTGTTAGTGTCCTCATTTTCCAGGAGGAAACTGAAGCACAGAGAAGTGAGGTAACTCGTCCAGGTCACACAGCAGGTAGAGGACCCAGGACTCACTGTCAGGTGGCAGTCTGGCTCTAGGGTCCTTGATTTTTTTCAGTGCACTTCGTGGGTTTGGGGGTAGGACATCAGGGCAGGTTGTCAAGGGGAGTGGCCTGAGCTGGCTGGAGGGCAGTGAGCTTTGGCTTTGGAGGCTTGGACACTGTATCTGGGTCCACTCTGGATGCTGCTGCTTTTTGGGTTCTCCTCATTGAGAAGCATGGACAGGGCCAGGATGCATATATGGTGGGTGAACCTGCTGCAAGGGCCAGAAGGTGACAATGAGGCCAGGCAGAGGGGTACAGAAGGAGGGCACTCTGTAGAGAGCCTAGAACATGTTGGTGACCAGGATAGGCCTGGCAGCATCTGATGACAGTTACAGGTTTCCATTTGTTTGTTTTGAGTTTTGCCATTTAAAAATATTTCAAGCCAGGCATGGTGGTGCACACCTATTGTCTTAGCACTTGGGAGGCTGAGACGAGGGCATTTCTATGAGTGGGATTAAAAGCTGGCTTGGTCTACGTAACATAATAAAACCCTGTTTAGAAAATAACCTCCAAATAAAAAGAACTAAAATCCCATTCATCCTTGGGTTTCTTTGAGCATGGATGGTGTTCAATTATTCTCAACAAATAAGGAAGCAATTAAAAAAAATAGCTAAAATCATGTCAAGGAACTCCTACATCTATAATACTACTTACTACTCAGGAGCTGAGGCAGGAGGATCATGAGTTCAAGATTTTTCTGGGGTACCTAATGAGACCCTGTCTCAAACAATACAAGACAAAGCAAAATATTTCCAAACATATCTGTAAGGACTAAGAACTGATTTTAAACAACTTCCATGTGATTACCACACCTGAAAAATGGCCGATTTTTTTCCCTACCAGTATTTACCATCAGTAAATGCCCACACTGATTTGTGAGTTTCTTTTGCCATGTGGTTATTTTTTGTTATTTCTGTAAGGCTGGGAATAAGTTTGTAAATCAGCTATGTGTGTGTGCGCATGTGTACGCACACCTGTGTGTGTGTGTGTGTGTGTGTGTGTGTGTGTGTGTGTGTAAGGCATTAGACTCCTGGAGTTGAGTTTCTAGGTGGCTGTGAGCCACTGGGCATGGATGCTGGGAACTGAGCTCAGGTCCTCTACAAGGGCAATATGTGCTCTTAAGCATCGAGTCATCTCTCCAGCCCTCTCAGACCTCTTCTAGTACCACACAAAGATAAATCCATTATAAATCACCAATCCCCTGTTCCCTGTCAGGAATCTATTCCTAGATCCCCGCTGGCTGCCTGCAACCCTGACTGGCACCAATCCCTACACATACTGTGATGTCTCCTATAGGTACACAGCCATGTCAGAGATGAGTTCAAAATTAGGTACAATTAGGGTTTAACAAAGAAAGGCTATGCCAGGCCTGGTGGCATAAGCCTATAATCCCAGCTCCACTGGAGCCTAGGGTGGGAGGATCGTGAATTCAAGTCCAGCATGAGCTACAGAGTGAGTTCAAGGCCAGCCTGGGCATCTTAGTGAGACCCTGTTTCAAAATTAAAGTAAAAAGGAAGCCGGAGATTCTGTTTAGTGGTAGAACATTTGCCTGAGGCCCTAGATTCAATCTCCAGTATTGAGGTGGAGGATAAGAGGGAGGCTTATAATAAAATTGATCAATTATAACAATATGCTTTCATAAACACTGGAATCTTTGAAGTTATTCATCCCCTTTTAAACTTCTAAACTAATTTTATGTGTATGAGTGTTTATGTGTTGCCTGCCTGTATGTCTGTGCACTATTGTGTGCAGTGTTCACAGAGGCCAGAAGGGGGCATCAGGTCCCCTGGAGCTGGAGTTACAGACCATTGTGAGCTGCCATGTAGGCCCTGGAATTGAACCTGGGTCCCCTGGAAGAGCAGCCAGTGCTCTTAACCACTGAGCCATTACTTGAGTTCTCTTTTTTATTTTTACCTTTTGTTGTTGTTTTGGGACAGGGTTTCTCTGTGTATCCTTGGCTGTCCTGGAACTTGCTTTGTAGACCATACATCCGCCTGCCTCTGCCTCCCAAGTTCTGGGATCAAAGATGTGCTTTGCCACCACCCGGCTCTTTTCTAACTTTCTATCATGAAAACTTCTAAACACATGGAAGTTAGGACATGTCAGTGTTGCTAGGACCCAATAGTTGCTCCTTTGCTTTATCTACACATGGATAAATGCATGTAAAAATACATCTTGCAGATGACACTTTCCTGCCTGAGTGTCAGTATTGCTGAAAACATTAGCAGCGATGACATATCCAGCAGTGTGAGCAGAACTCACTCATCGAGCCCCTGAACTCACTAACCAGGTGCTGGGTTCAGTCACCCCACCTCTCATGGAGCCTTAGGGGTACAGGCAGTCCCCATGCATTCCTAGAGATATACATGTGAGGAGATAGACTCAGAGAAGTGAGGTGGCTTGCCCCAGGTCACCAACTGGTGGTGTGATGGTGTGACAATTGAGGTAGAGCATGACAAACCTAGTCTTGTGTGGCCACACTATCGCCTTGTGACTGGCATGCCCCTTGGAACTGACACTTCCAGGCTTCAGTCAGGGGCAATGCACTCTGTATGTTCATGAGCCAGGATGCAGAGAGGTAAAAGGACTTCTTGAGGTCACAGCCAATGAACAGGGCCAGCTTTCCAGCCTTTTGCCCTCCTCATCCCCATAACCCATCAGCTGGACAGGCACAGGGCAAGCTAGGTGTCTCCCAGGAGATTTACATGGACACGTGAAACATTCCCTGAAGGACACGCTGGCTACAGCTGGGAAGAACTGGGCTGGTTCAGTCAACACAGCCCATCTACAATCCTGGGTGACCTTGGACAAGTGACTTAACTCTGTGATGTTCAGCCCCCTCTAAACCCATCTCCAAGTTGGAGATTCAAATGTGGAAATGCACACATAGTACCTTGAAGTGCCCCATTTCCCTGCTCACTCCTCTCTCCAGCCACTGGTACTTGGCAAGCCTTTGGTTAAAGTGGATGTGTTGGCTCAGTTTAGGTCTTGCCCTGCTGCATGTGCTTAGTGTGTTGGCGAGCAAAACATATGCTCCCTGGGCTGGGATGTGACTCCCAGTTGAGCATGTGGCTGTCCTGCACAGGCCCTGGCTTTTATGAACCACAGAAATGAAGCAGAAGAGGAGAGAACAAAAGCCAGGGGTTTTGGCCCACTGTGGTTTAAGGGCTGGGGAGGCAGAGGTCACACTCCAGGAGTGTTGGGCACCATGGGGATAGGAGTGCTGCCCCAGGGAGGGAACTGTAGGCAAAATGAGGCTGTGTAGCTCCTGGACAGTGAGGCAGAAGTGTAAAATCAGGCACTTCTGGGGGATGTGGGGTCTCCACCTGTGGAATGAGTGCCTGTGTTGGCCGCCGGCTTGGTGACATTGTAGATGTGACTATGTTCTGGGAGTCAAAGTGCTCTTGTCAGTTTTCCGCCCCCAACTCTGAGGTGTTGAATGTCTGGGGCCCCTGTCCTCTCCCTTGTTCCATCTGGAAGGCTCACCTCCTGATTTCTTCTCCTCAGTGTTGGTCAAGTGGTGAATATCAAGGCCAAGGTGAACCGGGCCTTCAACTCCAGCATGGAGGTGTGTGTGGCTGACCCTGCTGGGGGTGGGATGGCCTTCCTGTTCCACTCTGTCTTTTAAGGTCCAAACCCAAGCTTCCTCACACTGTAGGATCCTGACTAGAGTTCCAAGATGGCTGGTTCAGGGAGGAGGACCCTAAGTCCTTCTTGCTAATATTCCATAGCGCAGGAGGGAGCATGGAGGCCAGGAAGGGAAGAGGGCTTGCTTGCTCAGGGCTTCTGCTCCTGGCCAGGCACATTCAGTAGCAGGTCATGAAGGTTGAGGAAGGCAGTACTGTGTCTGGTCATGGTCCTGCAATGGACAGACTGGGCTTTTCATCTATTAGTTTACCTCAGTGGCCTCTTTTCCCACATCTGTACAGGGGACCCATGGCTCCTGCACTCAGGGTGCTGAATGCTTAGTGGGAGGATGACACAATGAGTTACAGGCAGCTACTGAGGACGTCATTTCTTCTCCTGAGCTTTATTTAGGTCCTGCACTTCACCCAGTGAGCCATTGATTCCTGAGAGCCACAGAGGCTGGAGTAACAGGGTCTCGACCATGCCTCTGGGCAGCACACAGTGCCAGTTCCTTCCCAGGCATCCCGCAGATCTGCCCTTACAGTATCAGTAGTGGAGGACAGGGGCACTTTTTTTTTTTTTTTTTTTTGGTTTTT